GGTGGGGGCAGGGGAATAGGAGGGGCCTTAGTTTGGGGCGGGGCCTCTCTGAGCTCGCTCCAGGGAAGTGGGTGGAACCAGGCCTGGGTGGAGCCAGGAGATGCCCACGCCCTGCCCACCTCCGCCTTGCCTGCAGGAGACCAGCTGCTCAGCGCCCGTGTGTTCTTCGAGAACTTCAAGTACGAGGACGCGCTACGCCTGCTGCAATGTGCCGAGCCTTACAAGGTCTCCTTCTGCCTGAAGCGCACTGTGCCCACTGGGGACCTGGCGCTGCGGCCTGGCACCGTGGCTGGCTACGAGATCAAGGGCCCACGGGCCAAGGTGGCCAAGCTGGTACGCGTGCTTAGCCCGGCCCCGGCTCTGGACTGCCCCAGCGATCCAGTCTCTCCGCCGTGAGCCCTACTCCTCCACACCGTGGGCCAGCCTTGCCCTCTGTCTTGTCACTAACCCATCGCTAATCCCACCCTCTACCTCCTATTCTCCACCCCTAAACTCCTTCCTGGGGAGGGGGACCCACCCATCTCAGACCAGGGCCTTTACCCACTTTGGAGAGGCATCAGCTCTAGGCTTGCCAGTGGTCCTGAACCAGGGGACTCCAAACCAGGAAGGCCAGGTTCAAGCCTGAGTGCTGCTCACTTAACTGCTGAGCGACCCTGGGCAAGTTTCTTTCCCTTTCTGGGCCTCAGTTTCCCCATCTCTAGAATGAAGGTATTGGGGGAAATCCTGGATGAGGACCTAGAAGTCTTGGGTCCTAGTTCCTACACTCCTGTTGACTCATTATCAGATTCTAAATGAATGTCTTTGCCCTACAGGGGCAGTCATCTTGAAATGACAGGAAGGAAGTGGGGCTGGTGTTTTGGGGGACAAGATGCTTCATCCAACACATCCCCAGCCTGGCACAATGCCAGATGGGTTCCCCCTGTCTTCCCCGAGCCTCCCACTGTCCCACCGCCTCCCGCATCTCTCCTCTCTCCCCAGAACATCCAGAGTCTGTCCCCTGTGAAGAAGAAGAAGATGGTGGTGCCTGGGGCCCTGGGGGCCCCTGCAGACCTGGCCCCTGTTGACGTCGAATTCTCCTTTCCCAAGTTCTCCCGTCTGCGTCGGGGCCTCAAAGCCGAGGCTGCCAAGGGTCCCGTCCCAGCTGCCCCAACCCGCCGGCGCCTCCAGCTGCCTCGGCTGCGCGTCCGAGAAGTGGCGGAAGAGGCCCAGGCGGCCCGGCAGGCCGTTGCTGTTCCTTCCCCAAGGAAAGCCAAAGTGGAGGCCGAGGTGGCAGCAGGAGCCCGTTTCACAGCCCCCCAGGTGGAGCTGGTTGGGCCCCGGCTGCCAGGTGCCGAGGTGGGTGTCCCCCAGGTCTCCGCCCCCAAGGGGCTGGGAGAGGTGGCCCTCCACCTGCCAACCCGTGGACTAGGAGCCCCCGCTGCACCTGCTGTGGAGCCCGCGGCCCTAGGGATCCAGGTCCCCCAAGTGGAGCTGCCCACCTTGCCCTCGCTACCCACTCTGCCCACACTTCCCTGCCTGGAGACCCGGGAAGGGGCTGCGGCAGTGACGGTGCCCACCCTGGATGTGGTGGCACCTGTCGTAGGGGTGGACCTGGCCTTGCCGGGTGTGGGGGTGGAGGCCCGAGGAGAGGCACCTGAGGTGGCCCTGAAGATGCCCCGCCTCAGTTTCCCCCGCTTTGGGGCTCGAGCAAAGGAAGTCGCTGAGGCCAAGGTGGCCAAGGGCAGCCCTGAGGCCAGGGTGAAGGGGCCTAGACTTCGGATGCCCACCTTCGGGCTTTCGCTCCTGGAACCCCGGTCGGCTGTCGCCGAAGTTGCTGTTGAGAGCAAGCTAAAGCTGCCCACCATCAAGATGCCCTTTGGCCTTGGGGTCTCGGCCCCTGAGGTCAGGATGCCCAAGGGGCCTGAGGTGAAGCTCCCGAAGGCTCCTGAGGTGAAGCTCCCGAAGGCTCCTGAGGTGAAGCTCCCGAAGGTGCCGGAGGCAGCCCTTCCGGACGTGCAACTCCCAGAGGTGGGACTCCCCAAAGTGTCAGAGATGAAGCTCCCGAAGGTGCCAGAGATGGCCGTGCCGGAGGTGCGGCTCCCCGAAGTGCAGCTGCCGAAAGTCCCCGAGATGAAGCTCCCAAAGGTGCCCGAGATGGCCGTGCCTGACGTGCAGCTCCCCGATGTGCAGCTCCCCAAAGTCCCCGAGATGAAGCTCCCCGAGGTGAAGCTCCCGAAAGTGCCCGAGATGGCCGTGCCCGACGTGCATCTCCCCGAAGTGCAGCTCCCCAAAGTCCCCGAGATGAAGCTCCTGAAGATGCCCGAGATGGCCGTGCCCGATGTGCGGCTCCCCGAGGTGCAGCTGCCGAAGGTCTCGGAGATGAAGCTCCCCAAGGTGCCCGAGATGGCCGTGCCCGACGTCCACCTCCCCGAGGTGCAGCTGCCGAAGGTCTCAGAGATGAAAGTCCCTGACATGAAGCTCCCCGAGATGAAACTGCCGGAGATAAAACTCCCCAAGGTGCCCGAGATGGCCATGCCCGACGTCCACCTCCCAGAGGTGCAGCTGCCGAAGGTGTCGGAGATGCGGCTGCCGGAAATGCAGGTGCCCAAGGTCCCAGAGGTGCATCTCCCGAAGGCGCCCGAGGTGAAGCTGCCCAAGGCTCCAGAGGTGCAGCTAAAAGCAGAGCGGGCAGAGGGGATGGAATTTGGCTTCAAGATGCCCAAGATGACCATGCCTAAGCTAGGGAGGGCAGAGTCCCCATCGCGAGGCAAGCCAGGTGAGGCAGGGGCTGAGGTCTCTGGGAAGCTGGTGACACTTCCCTGTCTGCAGCCGGAGGTGGGTCCCGAGGCTCGTGTGGGTGTCCCCTCTCTCACACTGCCCTCCGTGGAGCTAGACCTGCCACAGGCCCTCAGCCTGGAGGGGCAGGTCCCAGCAGCCGAAGTGGGCAAGGTGGAGTGGGCAGAGGACCGTGGGGCGGCCGCAGGGGTCGGGGAAGCGGCCTTCCGGATGCCCTCTGTTGAGATCGTCACTCCGCAGCTGCCCATGGTGGAAGTCGAGGAAGGGCGGCTAGAGGTGATGGAGATGAAAGTCAAGCCCTCCTCCAAGTTCTCCCTGCCCAAGTTTGGACTCTCGGGGCCCAAAGTGGCCAAGGCAGAGGCTGAGGGGGCCGGGCGAGTCACCAAGCTGAAGGTGTCCAAGTTCGCCATCTCACTGCCCAAGGCCCGAGCGGGGACTGAAGCTGAGTCCAAAGGGGCAGGGGAGGCAGGCCTGCTGCCCGCCCTCGATCTGTCCATCCCACAGCTCAGCCTGGATGCCCATCTGCCCACAGGCAAGGTGGAGGTGGCGGGGGCTGATGTCAAGGTCAAGGGGCCCAGGTTTGGCCTGCCCAAGTTTGGGGTCAGAGGCCGGGACGCTGAGGCGGGAGAACTAGCGCCAGGGGTGGCCGAGCTGGAGGGCAAGGGCTGGGGTTGGGATGGGAAGGTGAAGATCCCCAAGCTGAAGATGCCCTCCTTTGGGCTGGCTCGAGGGAAGGAAGCTGAAATCCAGGGTGGGCGTGTCAGCCCGGGAGAAAAGCCAGAGTCCGTGGCTGGGCAGCTTAAGATCCCTGAGGTGGAGCTGGTCACGCTGGGGGCCCAGGAGGAAGGGAGGGCTGAGGGGGCGGTGGCTGTCAGTGGGGTACAGCTATCAGGCCCGCAAGTGTCCGTGACCAGGCCGGCAGGCACTGAGGGCCAGGAGGGGGCGCTGAGGATGCCCCAGGGCATTTCCCTGCCCCAGGTAGAGCTGCCTGGCTTCGGGGAGGCCGGCCTGGGCACCACCGCTGGGCAGCAGGTCAAGGGTGCAGCCCTGTCAGCGGAGGGCACAGCAGGCTACAGGGTCCAGGTGCCTCAGGTGACCTTGTCTCTGCCTGGAGCCCAGGTGGCAGGTGGCGAGCTGTTGGTAGGTGAGGGCGTCTTCAAGATGCCCGCTGTGTCAGTGCCCCAGCTTGAGCTGGACGTGGGGCTGGGCCGAGAGGCGCAGGTGGGGGAGGCAGCCACAGGCGAGGGTGGCTTGCGGCTGAAGATGCCCACGCTGGGGGCCAGAGCTGAGGCCAGGGAAGGGGGGCCCGGAGACCAGTCCCCGGGGGCTGAGCGCACCTTCCACCTCTCACTGCCCGACGTGGAGCTCTCGCCACCCGCCGTGGGCAGCCATGCTGAGTACCAGGTGGCCGAGGGCGATGGGGAGGCCGGACACAAGCTCAAGATGCGGCTGCCCCGGTTTGGCCTGGTTCGGGCCAAGGAGGGCGTTGAGGAGGGTGAGAAGACCAAGAGCCCCAAACTCAGGCTGCCCCGAGTGGGCTTCAGCCAGAGCGAGGCGGTCACTGGGGAAGGCTCCCCCAGCCCTGAGGAGGAGGAGGGCGGCGGGGACGGGGCCTCTGGGCGCCGAGGCAGAGTCCGGGTCCACTTGCCCCGCGTAGGCCTGGCCACCCCTTCCAAGGCCTCTCGGGGCCAGGAGGGCGAGGCAGCCCCCAAGTCTCCTGGTGGGGAGAAGTCGCCCAAGTTCCGCTTCCCCCGGGTGTCCCTAAGCCCCAAGGCCCGGAGTGGGAGCGGGGACCAGGAAGAGGGTGGATTCCGGGTCCGGCTGCCCAGCGTGGGGTTTTCGGAGACAGGGGCTCCGGGCCCTGCCAGGATGGAGGGGGCTCAGGCTGCAGTTGTCTGAAGCCCCAGGGCAGAGGGAGAGTCCCCTCCCATCTTCCCATCCCCGCCTCCTCTTTGTTTTGTGTGTGAGATAACTAGCACTAACCCTCAGAGGGCTGGGAGGTGGGTGACAGACAGGGACGGGGCCAGGGAGGCCTCATGTCCGGCTCCCTGGCAGGAGTACCTGTATCTTGGCCAAGCCATGTGAATAAAATAATCCAGAGGTAGCCTTGTGTTGGGTTTCGTTGGGGGGGGGGGGGCGGTACAGGGGAGGGTGGAGAGGGTGCAGGGAAAGAAGTCCCCAAGGAGGGGGACTACTTACTTGAGCCTGAGGAGAGTCTGTGTTGAGGGGAGACACCAGGCCACCCCAGGTCTGAAGAGAGTCAGGGAAGATTCGCAGTGGGCCGGGGGGAACGGGGCCTGCCCTAGCCATTCAGAATTCCCCAGGGCCTCTGAGCGAGACCCCTGTGCTGAGACCTCTCTGCCTGTCCTGGGGGAACCCCTCCCACCAGGACCTCCCTGGGGGTCCCTGAGAGAGCAGAACAATTGCTACCCATCTGCCCTCTGCTGGCCATCTTCTCATCGACAAGAGCACCTCCACATCCTGGGGATCGCTTTCCTGTCTGGCTGGTTTGACTGCCCCGGCTGCCCCGGCCCCACCCAGGAAGGCCCCTCCTGGTCCGCTCTCCAGGCTCTAGGGTTCAGAGCCTCCACCCCAGGTCCCTGGCTGCCTCTTAGGACTAGGTCCCAGGGTCCTCAGCTCCTGTCAGGGCTGGGCCTCGGCTCCCAGGGCCCCAGTCCCACACAGGACCTAAGCCCCCACCAAGGAGCTCCAGACTCCCACACGTCTCTCTGCAGTGCCCCAGGCTGGGCCAAGAAGACATTCTGTCCAGTCCTGAGTGTCCCCCCAACGTCCCCATATCTGCCCATCCACTGTCCTCACATCCCACCATGCCCTGGAGTTGTCCCACACCCCTGACTTACTCCAGCACCTTCTCCGTTAAAGCTGGCCTCCCTCGGGTCACCTCCGGGGCGCATGGTTTCTCTTCATTTCCACCAAATATGGCAGGAATGATTTATACCTATGGCGCACACCCTTTGCCCAGCACCCCCCCCCCCAACATTTGGGGTTTCCCTCCCACCACAGCTGACCTGTCAGTGTCCATAGTGATCTCTCTGTGGCCACGCTGAGGGCTTCCCCTGGCTCCCTTGTCCTGACTTCTCGGGGTCCCTTCCTCCTTCCTGAACTCTCTCTTCTCTCTCTTCCCCACTCCTTCTCTCTCTCCTCTTGCCCCTTGGGCCCTCAGGACTCCTCCCAGGCCTTCATCCTTCCCCACATCCCCCCCAGGCCAGGTCACCCTCCCTATGGTCCACATGGGAATCTAGTGTCCCCTGTGTGCCTCCCCTGGACGTGGCAGTGGTTCAGAGCTTGGGTCTAGAGCCAGAATGCTTGGGGTCAAAGCGTGTCGCTGGCACCCAGCTGGGTGCCCTTAGGCGTTTTTTTGTGTGTGTGTCTTGATTTTCTCTTCCATAAAATGGAGCTATTAAAATGTATGTGTAGGGATCGGATAAGTCTTCTAAAGCACTCAAGACGTGTCTAAAGGTTTCAGTGTTCAATCTCCTAATCTGACATCAGCATTTTCTCCCCTAAAGTGCTCCTTATCCACGTCCCTGTCCCAGGGACCATCCCTGAGCCCTGGTCCTTGTTCTGGATGGTTCCTTTCTTTCCCCCCCACAACCTGTCAGTCCCACAGCCTGGCCTCCTGGCCGCCTGTCTCATACACCAGCCTCCTCCCCTGCACACCAACCTCCCTCCCCTGGGCCCCGCTCCAGGTTCTGGGCCTCCACTCTTGTCCCCGCCACTCTTATTCACACGGTAGCTTTCTGACACTTAAATCTGACCCTGTCCTCCCTTGCTCAGAGCCCTTCTGTGGCTCCCCACTGCCCTCAGATAAATGGGTCCAGACTCCTTAGCCTGGCATTCAAGACCTTTTACCACCTGGTCCTGCTTCAGCGGCACCTCCCTCCCCCATGGCAGCCACAGGCAGGGGCGGGTGTTTGCTGAACACGGGGACACACACACACACAGACGCACGCACGCACACACGCATCTCCCAAGCTCTTCACCTCTGCTTAGGAATGTCCCAGTCCTCCATGCCAGAGGTCCAGGATTGGACTTCCTTCTCAGTTGACCCTTCACCTGGGTCCAGCCCCTCCGGGCTTCCGCCACTGGGGTGGGGGAGGGGGCTCGACCTGCCACCCCACCCCCCATTCCAGCCTGGGGCTCAGGTCTCCGACAACAGAACCAGAGCCACTCAGCAACGCTGGAACCCACTCGGGGGGGCCTGGGGCCCCTCGTCCCAAGCCAGGAGGGCTTTGGGGGAGGGGTGTGGCCCCTGGCAGACTGGCAGTGTGGCCCAGGGGGCTGGGGGGCGCCAGGGAGGTGGGGGCGAACCTCGAAGCGGGAGGCACGAGTGCGGTTCTCCTTCCCTCGCTGGGGGGGCCTTGGAGCCGGTGGCGGGCGGGAAGCCTTCGAAGGCAGAGCCTGCGGGGCGGGGGTGGTGGCAGGGCCGCGTCCAGTGGCAGGGGCACCATGGCCACCATCCAGTCGGAGACCGACTGCTATGACATCATCGAGGTGCTGGGCAAGGGCACCTTCGGGGAGGTGGCCAAGGGCTGGCGGCGAAGCACGGGCGAGATGGTGGCCATCAAGATCCTCAAGAACGACGCCTACCGCAACCGCATCATCAAGAACGAGCTGAAGCTACTGCGCTGCATGAGGGGTCTGGACCCAGAGGAGGCCCACGTCATCCGCTTCCTCGAGTTCTTCCACGACGCCCTCAAGTTCTACCTGGTCTTCGAGCTGCTGGAGCAAAACCTTTTCGAATTCCAGAAGGAGAACAACTTCGCACCCCTCCCTGCCCGCCACATCCGCACGGTCACCCTGCAGGTGCTCAGAGCCCTGGCCCGGCTCAAGGAGCTGGCCATCATCCATGCTGATCTCAAGCCCGAGAACATCATGCTGGTGGACCAGACCCGCTGCCCCTTCAGGGTCAAGGTGAGTGGGGCGGCCCTGGCGTGGCGGCATCCCTGGTTCTTGTCTTCTCCCAGCTTCCCCCAGCCCTGGACACTCTCCTGTCGCTAAGGTCTCCCTTGTTCCACCTCCCAGCCTTGAGGTCTCCCCTTCCCTGCCCATGATGCCTCTCCCCACATTCTGGCCCTAAAAGCCTGCCCATCTGCTTGTCCCGATTCTGACATTCTCTGTCCTGGACCTGAGACCTCCCCCTCCTTCTCCAATTCATAGTTCAGCTCCTCTGGCCCAGTTCTGTCTATGTGGGGCTGACATTCTAGTGGGGGAAACAGAGTCGCCAAGATAAATGAGTCAAATGTGGTATGTGAGTGAGAAGGAGAAAACATAAAGCAGGGAGGAGGAGCATGTGGGGTGTTGATTGGTGGTGGTAGTAGTGAGTGAAACTGTAGACACGTCGGTCAGGGAGACCTCACTGAGAAGGTGACATTTGAGGAAAGTCCCAAAGGAAGGAGGTTGCCATGTAGACATCGGGGGAAAAGCATCTGGGTAGAAGGAACTGTTAGTGCAAAGGCCCTGAGGTAGGAGTAATCTGAGTATATATGTTTGCGAAGCAGCCAGGAGGCCAGGGTGGCTGAAGCAGAGTGAGAAAAGGAAGGACATGGGATCAGGGAGGTGATGGGGCTGGGAGACACACAGGGCCTCATGGGCCACAATGAGGATGGGTTTTATTCTGTGTAAGATGGGGCCACAAGAGGCTTCTGAGCAAAGAGGGGCTGTGATCTGGCTCAGGTGTTCCCAGGGTCTCTCTGGCTGCATGAAGGCAATAGCCTGCTAGGGGCAGGATCAGGAGGGCAGTGAGGGGTGTCTGCTCTGCTCCAGGTGGGAGGCCTGGGTGTGGGGGTGGAGTCGGGTAGTGGGAGGAAGGGACATGGTGCGTTCTAGGTAGGTTTGGAGCTACTGACAACAGGATTTGCTGACTGATCTTATGTGAGGTGTAAGAAAGCACTTGATTGGAGATGAGAGCCTGATGGCCCGAGCGACTAGAAGGATGGAAGCGCCATTCTTCGTTACAGACAGTTTGTTCATTAACAAAGATTTACTGGGACGCTTGGGTGGCTCAGATGGTTAAGCGTCTGCCTTTGGCTCAGGTCATGATCTCCAAGTCCTGGGATCGAGCCCCATGTCGGGCTCCTGGCTCAGCGGGGAGTCTGCTTCTCCCTCTCCCTCTGCCTCTCCCCCTGCCTGTGCTCTCTCTCTCTCTCAAATGGATAAATAAAATCTTTAAACAAAAAACAAACACTTACTGAAGACCCACTCTGGACCTGACCCTGTGCTGGGCACACAGAAGCACCTCCCATACATGTCACAAGTCCCTGGGCCCCCTATCCCAGCCCTGGACCCCTGCCTGTGACCCCCAGTCCCAGACCTGGCCCTTTCACCCTGGACCCCTATCTCTGCCCCCAAATCCCAGACCTGGCCCCTCTGCTCTGGCCCCCTGCCTATGTCCCCCATCCCAGGCCTGGCCCCTTCACTCAGGACCCCTTCCTCCCTCTGTCCCACAATCCCAGACCTGGCCCCTCTGTCCACTTCTGGGCTTGTCACTGTCTGGTGAAGGGTCTGAACTAGGAGCAGGCGGGGCTATGAAGTCAAGGTCTGGTCAGTTTTGGTCACCACTGTGTCCTTGGCATCTCCCAGCACAGTGCTGAGGCGGGGTCAATGCTAAATGAATTCAGAGTCACAGGGAGATAGGCAGGCAGGAAAAGGCAGATCATTTTGCCCTAAGAGATGGAAGGACAGAGCACCAAGGAAGGAGAGACTCCCACAAACACAGCAGGGGACAGACAGGACAGATCCACAACACCTGGCCGGCGTTGGCCCGCTCCTGTGTCTGTGGAATGAATGAATGACTGGATCCCGTGAACACTGAGTGCCCCAGGTCTCTCACGCTCTGAGATTCAGGCCTCAGCCGTCCGCACTCAAGAGTGCAGGTTAATAACCCTTCCATCGTACCACCTTCTGCAAATAGAAGGTGAGGGATGGCTGAATGAAAAGCAGAGAAACTCAGAGGGGGAAACTGAGGCAGGGATCAAGATAGAGTCTTGGAGATTCAGAGTGAAAGTGGCACAGGGTGCCTCCCAGCTGCATTGGGAAAGATTTTCAACCGTCCCGGGCGCTAGAGCAGTGGGTATTCATCGAGTCCCATCCTGGTCCTGTTGGAGCAGGGCAGGGGGCTGCTGTGAGGGGTGTCCAAGGTACCTAATGATGAAGACAGAACAGGGCGGGCTTCAGGGAGGTGTCTTCCTAGCAGGTGACCCAGGGATGGAGACGGAGAGAGACACAGAGAGATGAGAGACACAACGAACAGCAAAGCAATGAAGAGGCAAAGAAAGAACGAGACAGATATGAAAAAAGAGGCAGAAGGAAGCAGAATGGCAGGGACATAAAAGCCCATTCATTCATTCATTCATTCATTCACTCATTCCTGACTGAGCCCCTAACTGTGTGCCGGGCATTGTTCTAGGCGGCTAGGGATGAGCAGTGAACAGACAAAATCCCTACCCTGATGGGACTGCATCCTAGCTGGGTAGATAGACGATGAACTTGACTAAAAAGGTAAAATATATAGGATGTGAAATGGTGTTAAGAGTTCTGGAGAGGGGCGCCTGGGTGGCTCAGTCATTAAGTGTCTGCCTTCGGCTCAGGTCATGATCCCGGGGTCCTGGGATCGAGCCCCGCATCGGGCTCCCTGCTCGGCCGGGCGCCTGCTTCTCCCTCTCCCACTCCGCCTGCTTGTGTTCCCTCTCTAGCTCTCTCTCTCTCTCTCTGTCAAATAAATAAAATAAAAAAATCTTTAAAAAAAAAAAAGAGTTCTGGAGAAAAGCAGGGAGCCAGGAAGGGGGATAGGAACGGTGGGGGAGGCTGTTTTTCATAGGATGGCCAGGGGAGGTCCCCTCCACTGAAAAGGTGACATTTGAGACCTGAGATGAGGGAGTTGTGTGGACATCTGGGGGAAGAGCATGCCAGGCAGAGGGAACGGCCAGTGCAAAGGCCCTGAGCTGGAAGTGCGTCTGGCTTGTTCAAGGGACAGTGAGACACCTGTGAGAGGGAAAGCAGGAGGTGCTGAAGGCAGAGAGGTGATGGGGCAGATTACTCGAGCCTTGGGGGCCACAGTGAGGACGTTGGCTTTTATCACAAGATGCCTCGGGAGGTGTGCATGATGAGCAGACTGGGGTGCAGAGGGGAGGAGCAGGGAGACCAGCAAGGAGGCCCCTCCATCAGCCTCGGTGGAAGATGATGGAGGACGGGGCGGTGTGGGGGGAGCCGAGGCTGGGACGAAGAGGGGGCCGAGTCTGGATCTATTCAGAAGGTGGAGCCGACAACCTTTGCTGATGGGCGAGGTGTGGCATGAAAGACAAAGAAAGGGATCCTAACCCTCACAGGCATAAGTCCTAGTGGAACGAAACAGAGACAAACACACAAAACCAGAGACAAAGACGGGCGAAGACAGGCACATAAACAAGAGATAAAGACTCTCAGACACAGCGACAGTCAGATAGCAGGTGCAGAGAGACACAGGCGAGAGCCACAGGGGAGACCTAGATTGGTTGTCCCTGTCCCCTGCCCTGCCCACCTGCCTCCCCACCCCCCCACAGGTAATTGACTTTGGCTCAGCCAGCATTTTCAGCGAGGTGCGCTATGTCAAGGAGCCATACATTCAGTCGCGCTTCTACCGGGCCCCCGAGATTCTGCTGGGGCTGCCCTTCTGCGAGAAGGTGGACGTGTGGTCACTGGGCTGTGTCATGGCCGAGCTGCATCTGGGCTGGCCCCTCTACCCGGGCAACAACGAGTACGACCAGGTGCGCTACATCTGTGAGACCCAGGGCTTGCCCAAGCCCCACCTGCTGCACGCCGCCCGCAAGGCCCACCACTTCTTCAAGCGCAACCCCCACCCCGATGCTGGCAACCCCTGGCAGCTCAAGTCCTCGGCCGACTACCTGGCTGAGACCAAGGTAGGGGAGGGCAGGGGATGTGGGGGCTGCTACATCGACAAAACAATCTGGGCTAGACCTCAGAGAGGACGGGAAGTTTGAGGGTCAGCTCAAATCACAGCAAGTCACAGCAAGAGAGATGTGGGTGAGACCCCGGGTGGCACTGGAAGTACATGGCGGCTCCTCTTGAGTTTCATGGCGAGGGCTCGGCAAGCTCGTGTAGCAAGCAAGCTGGGAGGCCTGGCGGGCTGGGCTTGGGGGTGGAGGCTCCGGGAGCAAGAGGGATCTGGATTTGACTCCAAGGGGGACTAGAGGTTGGGGGCAGCTCCTCTGCTAGCGGCTGGTAGGGGCTGGAGCCGTGGCTCTGGGGAGGCCCGGAGGTCTGGGGGAGGAGTGAAACTTGGCTCAGTGAGACTCTGGGTGAGGTGGCAGGAGGACCAAAGAACCCAACCTGGTATGTTTCCTGCAGCAGTAGGAGGGCTCTGGGGCAGACCAGAGGGGCTCTCCCCGCAGCAAGAGAGCTCCAAGTCAGATTATGGGCAGAACTGCAAGTCGAGGTTCAGGTGTGTGGACTTCATGGCAACAAGAGAGCCCTGGACCAGACCGGAGGGCAGACTGGAAGCCGGGGGCGGAGGGAGTAGGTCATGCGTGGGCCCCGCTGCAGGAGCACCCGAGGCCCAAGGCCCGGACTCGATGTCAACCCCGGGCCCCCCCTGTGTCCCACCAGGTGCGCCCCCTGGAGCGCCGCAAGTACATGCTCAAGTCACTGGACCAGATCGAGACGGTGAACGGTGGCGGGGCGGCCAGTCGGCTGCCCTTCGCGGACCGCGAGGCGCTGGCGGAGCACGCCGACCTCAAGAGCATGGTCGAGCTGATCAAGCGCATGCTGACGTGGGAGTCGCATGAGCGCATCAGCCCCAGCGCTGCCCTGCGCCACCCCTTCGTGTCCATGCAGCAGCTGCGCAGCGCCCACGAGACTACCCGCTATTACCAGCTCTCCCTGCGGGGCTGCCGCCTCTCGCTGCAGGTGGAGGGCAAGCCGCCCACGCCGGTGGCAGCTGCGGCGGAAGACGGGCCCCCCTACCACCGTCTGGCTGAGGAGGAGGCGGCTGTGGGCATGGGCAGCGTGGTGGGCAGCGGGCCCTTCTTCTGCGAGAAGGCGCCGGGCGTGCAAAGGGCCATTGATCAGCTGGACGACCTGAGCCTACAGGAGGTGGGGCGGGGGCTGTGGGGCGAGAGCCGAGCCGACGTGGTTCCTGACATGCTGGCTCCTCTCAAGGCCGCCGCCGCGGGCCGCCGTGTGCCCGACTCGGGCCCCGAGCCCATCCTGGCCTTCTATGGCAGCCGCCTGGCAGGCCGCCACAAGGCCCGCAAGCCACCCGCAGGCTCCAAGTCGGACTCCAACTTCAGCAACCTCATCCGGCTGAGCCAGGCCTCCCCTGAGGATGATGGATCGTGCCGGGGCAGCGGCTGGGCAGAAGGAGAGCGCCTCGGGGCCTCCGCGGAGCTGCCCACCCTCCCGCAGCGGGATGGGGATGGACCAGACATCAAGGATATGACCATGGATGCTGATGTAAGCCCGGTGGGCTGGCCAGGGTGCGGGTGGTTCTGGGATCAGGGCCTCCCTGAGCTCCAGGATGGGGGGGTACAGTGAACCAGGCCTGGCGCCCCCCCCATCTGCATTGCCTGCAGCTGGCTCAGGGTTCAACACATACTAGTCCACTCTCAGGATGTGACGAGGCTCAGCAAACACTAACCCACGTTCAGGATATGATTAGGATTTGATACGGCTCAGGGTACACTAACCTGTATTCAGGATGTAACATTCAGCACACGCTAACCCACCCTTTTACAAGGTGATAAGGCTCAGCACACACTGATCACTTCAGGATGTAAGGCTCAGCACACACTAACCCATATTCAGGATATAAGGCTCAGCACACACTAACCTGCTCTTAATGATGTGATGAGGCTCAGCATATACTAATCCACCTTCAGGCGGTATAGAAACTCAGAACACCTTAATCCACCTACAGGAAGTGATAAAGGCCCAGCACTCAGTACAAGGCCTTAGCAGGTGCTCACCCATCCTCAGGAAGAAGTGACAAAGCCTCAGAGACACTAATAGTCCCTCAGAGCACATTAAGGTCTCCGCACACACTGTTTGAACCCCCAAGTTGCGATGAGGGTTCAGGACCTATAAAATCACCCTCAGGAAGTGACAAGGGTTCAGTTGGGACTGGAGAGAGTCCAGGAGGGGCTGGCCAGGGGCTCCTTGGCTGATGGTCCTTTCTTCTCCTCCCCAACAGAGGCTGGGCCCTGAGCTCTTCGACCCCAGCAGCTGCCCTGGGGAGTGGCTGAGTGAGCCAGACTGGACCCTGGAGGGTGTCAGGGGGCCACGGGCTCAGGGGCTCCCACCCCGCCACGCTCACCCGCACGGCCCGCCCCGGGCCACCAGCTTTCTGCAGCACGTCGGTGGGCACCATTGATGGTGACCCCACCCCTGCCCCTCACTGGGGGCTGCACTAGCTGGGCTGGTCTCCCTTCCTCAGAAGCCATTTCCTGAACCCACAAATTATTCTTACAGAAAGATAGTTATCCAGAAATTCCCCATTACCCTCGCCCATGGTGCATGCCAGCACAGAACGCCCCGAATGCAGGAGGGCCTTGGGGTCTGGCCTGTGGGCCCCCTGCCCGGGGGTGGGGGCAAAGGGACACAGGAAGGGGGCTGCCCCCACTGGCCCTGAGCATGCCCTCGGCCCTGCTGCCTCTGCCTATTTCAATAAAGAACTGTTGAGCAGCTCTGCTTGAGGCCTGGACTGGAGCTGGGGTGGGGTTCAGTTTGGCGCCTGGGACCCTGATCTCTGATGCGGCTGCGCTCAGCTGGTCCCTGCCAGGGACAGGCTGACCCATCCCCTAAGTATGCTAAGTGCTTGGCACGCGAGAATCCGCCCTTGGAACATTCCCCATGTTCAGCAGGTGCCAAGGCGAGCTTGCCATATGCCAAGGTCTCATCTGTAGACCTGCCCTTGCCACGCGTATGGGCTTGGCATGCCCTCCTCACCCACGCTCGGGTCATGGTTAAGTGCGAATTCCCTTGGCAGGCATAAACTCACGCTCGGTGCACACTCGGGTGTTTGGACATGCGAGGCCAGCCTTGGGAGCCGGTGATGGTTCGGAGCGTGCCCGTCTGGGAACATGCTCGATGTATAGCACATACTACCTATGCTGACTACGTGAGGCTCCGCTCACGCCAGGCCCTGTGGTCACGCTCTGCACGCTCAGCACATACTCGCTCACGAGCACTCACGCCAGCACGAGCCAAATCCACGCTAAGGGCATAGCACAGGCTGTGGGCTCCGGACAGGGGTCAACGCGCCGAGGGCTCTGCAAACGCTGTGTCGCCGAGAGAGGAGCGTGTCAGCTGTGCCCGACCCCGACGCCCCACTGCACATCAGACAGACAGACACAAGCCATACAGACAAGTGATTTACTTCTTATTATAACCTGGAGCCCTCTTTGCCCTGGAAAGGGGGGTGGGCCAGGGGGCCGGGCCCAGCATGCACCCCCGTTTCTTCGGGGGCTGATCCCTCCCCCCAACTGGGCTGGGTCCCGGGGCCACAGCATCAGGCCGGCAGGGATGGAGACAGAGGTGGGTAGAGCAGGGGCGAGCCAGTGAGCCACGATGGGGCACACAGAAGCGGGGGGCACGGGGACGGGGGCCGGGACCCAGGATGTCCGGGTCCCCGGGGGGCCTCGCGGGCCTCGGCCCGGCTGCCGGACCAGGGCCTCACAGCAGGCGACAGGCGTTGCCCACGCTGTCGGCTGAGGTGTCAAGGTCATGGCTGTAAGGGGAGTCCCAGTCCCTCAGGAAAACGGCCTCCAGCTGGCTCCTCAGGCCACCCCGCCCATTCTGCGTCACCAGCAGTGAGGTGCCCGCTGTCTCCGTGAAGTAGCTGCCAGACCAGTTGGAGGTTCCTGAGGGGGTGGGGGTCGGGGGGTCAGAGAGTCAGAGCCCAGAGCTGTGCTCGGCTTCTCCTCCTGTCCCCCTGGTGGTGCTCGGGACACTCACCAATGTAAGTGGCCCGTTCGGTCACCATGTACTTATTGTGGTTGACGCGGGCGTATGGGATCCGGGCCTGGCTCTCATCCGCGGGGACCACAAAGAGTTTCTGCGGGGGAGGGGAGAATGGGAAGGGGCGTGAGCTGCAGGGTGGGGGTGGAGAAGCCCCAGGGTCCGGGCTGGGGAGGGGAACCGGGTCTGCGGGACTGGGGACTCAGCTGCTTCCCCTGGACCCACAGGAGCCAGAACGGGGCCCAGCGGAGGGGGTACCAGTAACACCGGCTGAAAGGGGAGACCCAGTTGCCTCACTTGTCATTCCTTCTTGTATGGCTCCTACTCATCCCATAGGTCTCGCCTCAGATGTCTCCTTTTCCAGGAAGTCCTCCTTGACCACTGACCCCCCCACCCCCTCGCAAGCTGGGGCAGAGGCTTCCTCTGGGTCCCCCTATCCTGGCCATGAGGCCTCCTCCATCTGGGCCCTGCCCGCTCTGCCCTTGCCCCACCATCCTGGCCCGACTCAGGGTCTCCCCATCATGGCAGGGCCCTGTCCCTCGGAGTCAGCCCTGTCAAGTGACAGGTGAGCTCCATGAGGACTGTGCCTTCGGCATCGCCCTGCACTGGGGCTGAGCGGCGGGTCTGGGGTGGGTGCTTACCACCTGGATATCGGAGTGGGTGTGGTTGTCACGCAGGGCAGCCAGGGAGAGCAGGAAGGCCCGCATGGACGGCTCAGAGTGTCCCCAGCAGCTGATCAGCAGGCGCACCTTGACGCCCCGCTCATAGGCAGCCCGCCGCAGCCCGTCGTCAATGGCAGGCCAGAACCTTGGGGTTCGGGGACGGGGGTGCACGATTCGGAGGGCGGCTTTACCTATGGCCTGACCCTGAGGTTCGAGGCACCCTTAAACCCCAAGACCGCCCTATCTCTGGCTTCCATTCCTGCCCCCAAACCCCTCATCCTGTCTCTAGCCCATATACCCTGCTCCCTAACTCGGGAAATCCCACGTCCCACACCCCAGGCCTCCGGCCTCCGGTCCCCTGCCCCAGTCCCACCCCCAGGATTCCCATCCTTTTCTCTGTCCCCACTTCCTCTGTCTCGAGTGTTTAGACCCCCTCTCCCTGTCTCCTCTACCTCTCCCTGGGGCTTCCCGCCATCTGTCCCTTTGCCTTGTCCCCTTGCCTGCTTTCTGGCCTCGTCACTCCCTCTCCCACTCATGGTGGGTCCCTGCCCCGAGCCCTGTCCATGAGGCAGCCATACCTGCGCGGGTGGGAGAACTCCATGGTGGGCAGGTAGTTCATGACCGCGACGTAGATGAAACTCCGGGCATTATCCACCACGTTGAGCAGGGCCTTCAGATCCGGGGTGCGGCCACTGGGACACAGTGGTGGGGGTGCACTCTGGGGGGTGAGGGGACAGTCAAGACACGTGCCCTGCCAAGGGTGCCGTCACCACAGACCCCATGTACGGAGAGTCTGTCTCAAGTCAGGTCCTGTGGGTCGTGCTGAATCCTACAGCCTCCAGGAAGGGGAAGGTAATTGCCATGTCCGTTTTATAGGCGAGGAAGCTGAGGCTCAGAGAGGGTGAGTGACTTGCCTAAGGTCACACAGCTGACAAATGGAGCCAGGATTATGCATCCAAGCTGTTTGGTTCCAGAATGTACGCTCTAACACAGGGGTTCTGGACATAAGGGTCCTGGTCCAGCAATGGCAGCATCACCTGGAGCTTGTTAGATTTGCAAATTCTTGGGCTCCATTGCACAGGGCCTACTGAACCAGGTGCCGGGGTAGGGCTCAGGGATCTGGGTTTTAACCAGCTCTCCCCGTGCTTCTGATGCATGCTCAGGTTTAAGCACCTCTCCTGTGATCACCTGTGTCCCCGACTTCCTCACAGCCCACCCGAATGGCACTCCTTCGACACCAGGCCCTTTACCCTCCATCCTCGTGACAGAGGAGCAAACTCAAGCTCTGAAGGGGAAGTGGCCATGGGAAACCCTTAAGCTTCTGTGCGAAACCACTGAAGCGAAGCACCCCAATGAGTCATGCATCCCTGCATCCATGCCTTTCTGGGGCCCTCCACAATGACTCCGGGCTTGGCCAGGTGACTCGCTTTGGGGGGGGACAGAAGGGAACCCAGATTGGCCACCCCTAGCGGGGGCAATATCAAGAGCTACAAACAGCAGCGCCTTGTCTACGGGGCAAGAGAACTTTCCACGGTGATGGAAACGTTCTATAGCTGCACTGTTCAACATGGCAGCCGTTTGCTCCCTGGGCCTACCGAGCACCTGCAATGTGGGTCAGTGCAATTCAGGAACTGAACTTGTAGCGATATTTAATTTTAACTGACTTAAAATGAAAAGAGCCGAATGCAGCTACAGCAGGCAGCGCAGGGCTCCACTAGGGGCTTAGCGTGCATAAACCCCAGCCGGACTCCCCCATTAGCCGTAAAGGTTGCTGATCCTTATAGCCACTGTGGAGAAGAAACCCAAACCTGGGGAGGTTGGGACATAGCCCCAGCCCCAGACCAAGCAGAGTGAGTGGGGGTGAGTGGTCGGACCCTCCCCCGACCCCAACACCGGGCAGGGCTGGACAGAGACTGTGAGTGACCCGGCCCCTCCTCCCTAAGACTCACCGCCAGGTAAGCTAGAGCAGGAGTTCCATTGAGGCAGATCTCCATGGGTGTCTCCTGATTGTAGCGGGTGTCGTAGGGCCGGGGCCAGGTGGCCGGGATGGAGCTGCCCGCCTGGCCCAGGTACCAGTAGGCCTCGAAGATCTTGGTCAGGTCCCGAGCTAGGCAGCTGCAGTTGTACATGACCACTCCCAGCTCCTTGACCTGTGGGAGGGCGGTGCTGAGCCTTGGGGTGGTGGCCTGGCGCCCATGGGTGACACGGACACCCACGGCCCCCCTCCCCGCTTCCTGTCCCTGGCCCCTCAGTCTCCCATCCCCCCACCCCCTGCCACCACCACCGGAACTGAAGTCCCGGGATGGGCGTGAACTTGACTCGAGGCTAAAATCTGGCCAAGTTTTGGTAAAAATCATTTGGTTTTTCCAAAGAGCCAGGTTTCCTGAACCTTTGCGGAAGCTATTGCTTCTACCCTCCACAGAACAAGCTCCTACTCATTCTTAGGTCTCGGCTGACAGCCTCCTCCTCCAGGAAGCCTCTCTTGACTGCCCCGACTGTCTCAGGCATTCCTCTGGGCTTTCATGGTCCCTTGGCTTTTCCTCATTTCTCTCTCTGGTGACACTGCACCGGGAAGACAGGTACTGGGGATGTCTCAGCCATGGCTGTGACTTCAGCATCTCCTCACAAGAGTTGGTAAGATTAGGGGCTTGGGAAGTATTTGTTGAGTCAATAAATGATCACTGCCTAAGCTGTCCCTTCTTTCCTGTCTTGTGCTAAACCTGGCGAATCCTTCAGGTGTCATGTGAATTGTCACCTCCTTTGGAAGACCTTCCCTGATACTCTGGCCTGGGTCCCCCATCCTGACCCTCTGGGCTGCCACTGCCCGGTGACCAGCCTGTCACCGCACCAGACTGGTGGTTCCCAGGGATCCATCGCTTACCACCACGTTCCCAGCAGCACCCAGGACAGGCCTGGGCTTAGAGCAGGCACTCAAAGAACTGAACAATGAAGGGCCAATTGGTGGACAGGGCCTTGAATGCCCTGCAGAGGGGCTGGCAGCTGTCATCAGGGATCAGAGCAAACCCCGGGCTTCCATGAGCAGGGGGGAGGCAGTGAGGGCTGGATTTGGGGGATGCACCCCAAAGAGATGCAAGTCGCCGTATTCCCATAGAAACAGCTGAGTCATCAGGGCACCGAAGCCCACAGCCACCAGGATGAGGACCAGCAGGACCCAACGGGCTTTCTGTGGGTGGGGGGGGAAGGAGGCAGCAATGAGCCAGCCCATGCTGGAGGTAGGAATGAAGCCACTGCAGAGACCAAGACTCTGGGACTGAAGAGGGGTGCAGTTGGAGGCTGGGGGCCCCGGGGGATAGGGAGCCGCCGGGGAGGGCGGGTGGGCAGGGTGCAGGCAGACCTGGGTCAGGGAGCGCCAGTCCATGTTGGCACTGCCGATATAGAAGTGGGTCTGGTCCACCACCCAGAACTTGGTATGCAGGACGCCATGGGTCAGCTTCTGCATATCCACCATGCGCACCTGGGCACCTGTAACAAACAGCTCGTCAGGAGCCGATGCAGGCAGCCCTGGGCCCAGCCCACTCCCAGCCGCCCCCCTAGCTCACCACTCTGCAGCAGCGCCTGCAGGTCAGCCTGTGGC